AAAAGCCAGTGATGTTCAAGGTGGGTGGATATGGCTTAGCATGTATTGGGGACCAGATTTATTTGTGACTTAATGTGATGCAAGGCTGGGTCTGTATTCAAAAACTTGCACCAGTATAACTAAATCCATGCAGGGTTGATCTAGTTATACCGTGTCAACATTTTAAAGTGAAATCCGGTCCCTAGACAAAACTCCATTAACTTTGGTGGAACCACAGTGCATGTGCAGAAATGACTGTCTCTGCTGCTTAAACTGTAGGCTCCTCTGTACACTATAGTAGCCATGTAATAGATCCCAGCCACATTAGTAGTTTCGAATGTGAACAAAAGACTGTTGCATGCAGTGGAGAAAGCAGGATTACTTTAAATGAGGAGGTCTTGCAATTTGACCAGGATGTCAGGCAATTTGACCAGGATGTCAGGAATAACGCCCTTGACCCTTCCCAGCAGTACTATTGAGTCTGGTTTTCCTATGCTTCTAGGGAACCTTTAAATCCTGTAGCAGTTCTCTACTGAAATACTGCAACTCAGATTCACAAAACATTTTAACTGATATGTAGATTTGTGGACATTTCCTGCTTCCTTTTTTTTTTTTTAAACTGTAAAATTTAAATTATGTTGGGCTAAAGTTACTTGCCAGTGTCCTTCCCAGTAAGGAAATTGGTACTGAAGAGTGCAAAGTGAGAACAGGGAAGGTGTTTTCATTTCGTCCTCAGCTGTGTTACCTCAGGAGGCTTTTACTCTCTTTGATGCTGTGACTCCTCTTTCTTAGGCTGGTACAAGTTGGGTTTTCTCAACTGCTGAGCCTTTATGGCCTTGTGACCCAGTTCCAGCAAGTTGATCACTGTCCGATGAACTGATTCTTGCTGAAACTGGCCTCTAGATTTGTCTAGTCAGTCATCTGAATTATTATCAGTCTACCTAGGGTCCTGAAGCCAGTTGCGGTAGTGCCTGATGATCTAATGTTAAGAGCATGTATAATACTTGGACTACTCTGGATGGCATTGTTCCTTGTTTTTAGTTGAAAGGAGGAAGTTTTTCTCTTTTGTGCGGTGACTTTGTCTCTCTGGTATGAAAATGAGTAATGCTGACATCACTTCATGCACCTGCTGGGTGCCACACCTGCAAGATCATTTGAGACAGTCAGCAGACACGGGCAGCTGGGAAAGGGAAGGTTGAATTGGAGCTAGGACAGTGCGTGAACTTAGGCAATACATGCGCGCTGATGGTATGTACCTTTGGTTTTCAAACCTGACATCCATTTGGGGGAAGTTTTTTTCACTAAAAGAATACCAGATTTCTGGGGATTGTGGGTGCATGGCCCTGAGGTTTTTCACTGGAGTAAACTTTTATTCATAAGGGTAATCCTTACAACAGTGTTTTATCTTTTTGGAAAGTGCTATAGTTAAGAGTGTTTAGTTATAAGCTGCATTATTCATTACATAACTTCACGGTCCTCGTCTTAGGAACTTGACCTTTCTAGGCTCTTCAAAGTATGTACATATGCACATGGACTTTATCCTATCTACCCTTGTCTCATCTATGTGGCAAACTGGGAAGCTTGTCTTTTTACTGGTAGGTGACTTGGAATACGAGCTGTTAGCTGTGCTGTTACCTAGCTCTTGTTGTATGCCTTCACCCCTTTATCACAGTATCCAAGTACTTCTTGAGATATTGCTTCGTTTCTGCTGCAGTTCAAGACTGTCGCTTTCTTGCTGAGCATCTCCGCACTATTCCTCTGCAGCCAGCCGAAGCCAGCAAGACCATATCTTCAACAAAGCAGAACATGGTATTGGCCAGAAAAGCCTATAGGCCACTTATGAAACCCACCCTTTGAAGAGGCTGAAAGTATTTTGCTTATGAGCTCAAGCCCATAAAGTCTTTGGATTGTAATTTTATTTGAATGGATGATTTTGTATTGAGCATTACAATTGCATGTGCTTAAGTGAATGTCAGCCCTTCTGAGGAGGTGAACCTGTTCTCATCTCACCTGACACATTAGTTAATTAACTTCTTGGCCAAACGGTAATTCAGGGCAAGTATGTACAGGCGGCATTTACAGGGAATCTTACATTCCACTTAATTTCGTAAGCAGAAGAGAGATGCTTTCCTTCACCTGTGAGACCATTATTGCTCCATGCAACTTAATTTAGTTATAGTATTAAAGCCACTTATCAAGAGTGGTGAGCATTTTACTTGTCTAAGCTTGCTTATTTTTTTAATTCAAGATGATGTGTGTGATGCTCGAAACATGGGGCTTTGTTCTGACAGCTGAGCAATGTAACCATTTAAAATTCTTCATTAAATCTCTGGCAATTTGACTGGGTGAGTGACAAGTGTCTTATGGCATAACTATAGGGCATTTAAAGTAGGCGCCTCTGCTTTTACATGTCTACAAAATGACATGCAAACGTGAGTCTTGTCTTCAGTGACCCAATAGGACTCATAGTGATTCTTCCACTATTAAATACCACGAAGAAAGGCCACAGCATGGAGAAATGTTAATGTTCATAGAACAATGCTTTCATGGGTGCTAGAAACACGTGGTGAGAAGCCTGCTAAAAACAGCCAGCATAGATTCAACCCGCAGAATTCACAATTCTGGTTCTTCACAACAGGATTGTGCTCTGGAATTGAAACGTTCATTTTATAACCCGTGTTTCTGAGCTTTGTGGAGAAAGCATGAATCACATGGAAACCAGCATTGTCTTGCAGAGTTGGCAGACTGAAAAATAAATGAATAAATGTGAAATGTCCCTTGGAATTTAATGGGTTAAGCCTGGTGCCTGTAGATACCCGTTTGAAAGTGTCAGCACAAACTACTTTATAGCAGAAGTTAGGAAATGTTATGCTCCAGCCTCCTCAGATACCAGCTGACAAAACTGCCCGTTCCACCTTGACAGTGTTTTCAGGGTGCTTCAGGTAGTTTTGATGCAAAAATCTTTGACATGATGAGAGAGACCAGAATAAACAGAAGGGAGAATCTAAAATAAACACCACCTGGGCTGCAGTACCGTTTCAGTTATTTGAATGTTTGATTGTCTAAAATATTCAGCTAAATGGATCTGCCATAACATTTCTAGCTGACTCACAAGAACAGAATCCAGAAATCTTGTTGCAGCAGTTGCACAAGGTTTTGTTTGGCAATAATAAAAATGGTTAAGGTGGAGCTAACAAAGTGGGCTTATCACATGGCTAATAGCTAGAGTTTAGAGTGAACACTGGCCAGAGATCTCCCCATAGTGTGACTGGCTTCATCTTCTGTTCCAGATTTTCAGGTATGGTTTGCAAAGTGGACCCAAAGTACTGAGGGAATAGTTGAGTGGTGCTTAATCAAAGCTGGTAATCTTTTGGATTTCAGTGTGGCCTTGCTTGTTCCACTGGGCCGGTGCAAGAAGCTTGCATAGTCTTGATGTAAAAGCATGAGTGTCTGTGTGTGAAATGACTGCACAGAACTTTATACTATTTCCTGCCTAATAGGAGGGAGTTAGATGCACACAAATTGAAATGCTTTGTTGAGAAAAATCTTTTAAATTGGGAAGCAAGATCTGTGGACTTTTCCATCAAAGTGGATTGTATCTTCCTATTCAAACAAACAAAAACTACATGTGGCCAGTAGAGACAAAAAGGAATAGTTGGGTGGAAAGCAGCATCATATTACAGGATAAAAGCCTTTTTACACTCTCATAAAAAAGGTTGCTTAGGGCAGCTTTGTTAAAAAAAAAAAAAGATTAGATGATGATATTGGTATGAGTGGGACTAAGAATCCTTGAACTTAGGTTGTGCAATACTGAAAAAGAGGCTAGAAATGGCCCTTGTTATCTGCTATCTTAATGCCTGGTTTAAAGGATCTCTTGCTGCATATTTGTTGGCAGCTGTTTTCAATATACCCTTCTCAAACTAAGTCACTAGTTAAGAATTTGACATTAGGTGTTTGTTCCTAGCCACCATCTTGCAAGTGCTGTACTATACTGCACAACACAGCCTTGTTCCGCAGTTAGATATTGTTCCTGTGCCTTGAAATTGCTGCAGACACTCCAGAGTATTTAACTTACAGATCTAGTATAATTTTTGTTGGGTGTGAACATAACAGGATGGACACAAAGTATCCATGTCAGGATTTTTTCACGGCATCTGTACATTTATTTTTTGCAGCATTCCAGGAATTGCACTTTTCCCATTTTCCTTGCTTTGTTTTACTTTGTGTATAATTGTCTGCTCTTAAAATACATACAGGCTGTGAATACAAATGTGGTGAAACCCACATCATGTACTGATTTATCATAATGTATGGTTTTTGATCTTTTTATTATCCTCTTGTTTCAAAATTATTCAAAATATTGTACATCCCTGTCATGATTTTCCTCCTAGAAGGGAAAAAATAATACAGGGGTGTAAGAAGAGGTTTGGGAGTTATGTCTAGGTTGTCCTATACTTCTGTGGAGCCTATAGCAAGTGTTCCTCATTTTCTCAGTCTGTAGAATAGAGATAATGCTCTCCTGCTTGCTTCACAGAGACATCCTGAGTCTTAGTTCATTTATGTATGAAATGCTTTGAGTTCCTGTGACAAAAGTTGTTATATCCATTGGAGACATTATATAGTATGTATTTACATACGTATGCAGTACCACTGAGAGGTCCATCTGCCCCGAGCAGTGCTAAAAATGATGCAGCTTTCATTCCTGCTCCCCACACCCCAAAGGGAACAATTGGATTTAAAAATCACAGGGAGGGTGTGCTGGGTGCAGGAAGGGAGATGATTCTTCATGTTTTACTTAGACACACAAATGAGGCATGTGTTCTCAAGGCAAAAAATGATCAATATGCAGCAGTTGGCATTGTTGAACAGTGGGATTGTCTCACCTTAAAGGGACCAAAACTATTGGGTTTGGGAAGAATGGGGAATGCATGAAGGTTTGACAAGCACTGTTGACCAAGCTTGGTAGTTTTGGGCGTCCTAACTTGTGGCTAAAGTTAATTTGGGTTTTTTTTTCTCCTTAGAATTTTGTTGGGAGTGGAGAGAGCATCAAGTGATCCAAATTACTGAAGGGACAGAGGCCGTTTCTGAGTGGTGACTTTGGACCTGCAGAAGAAGGCCAAGTGTCCTCCTATGTACTGGAAGTGCTCCTTCTGACTGAGGGACTCTCAGTAAAAGGAAATAGGTATGTAGCCACTTCACACTTGATTAAAAAAGGGTAGCATTACAGTACGTGTGTCAGTGCCACAGTGTTGAGGTCATGAGGAAGCTTTATGGAATAAGAAATATTTAAATGTTCTCTGTGTTATATTTTGGAGAAGAACATTTTCTCTTGACAGTGTAAGCACAGGCAGTAGTTCACAACCGATATATCTACTCTAAAAACTGTCATGAGAGAGATGTGGAAGCAAGATGGTTTTGTAGCTAAGGCACAAAAAGAAGATTTCATGCAATTCAGAAGGCTTGGATTTTAATCCCTGGACCAGGACAAGTCGATTTTACTTAGACTTTTGAAAGAGACCATAGATTTTTGGAGCATCAGTTCTTATGCATCCAAATGAGAGCTCTATTGGACCTTATTTTCAGAAGTGCTGAAAACCCATAACTCCTAATGCTGTGGGAGTCTGAATGTGTAAGGTTATTGATCACTGAGCCCTTCTGATCTGTGCACATGCTTGACATTTATTTTTATAGATTTTTTTTTTAAATTACATTTGTATCTTTTTGGGCTTTCAAATCTAAACTCAGCCTAAGAATTTAATTTTTGTGCACCTCAGTCTGACAGTTCCTTCTGTCTTGCAGTTGCTTGCGGGGAAGCTGGTGTTATTTAGACATCACAGTTTAAACAGAATTCATGGAGTTCCCCTTATCCTTGTCTACATGGCAGTATTGTGAACCATTAGTTCTCAGTTGGGGGTAATGTGTGTAGTGTAGATGTGGCTCAGTCATTTTACAGGTCTTTGAGCCAGCAAGAAATTGGCTGTCTAGCACATAGCTCTACAGCTTGTAGTTAATAAGTTCTGAAATTACATCATTTCCACAGGCTTTGCTACCTTAGCAGGCAGGTCCTTTCCACATCTAACAGCTGTAATGACCCTTATTATTATGAAAACCTTTTCTAATCTGACCTGCATTTTTCTAGAATTTCAAGCCATTGCTCCTAAATGGCCCTTGCTTGATCCACTCAGGAGCTAATAACCATGTCTCCTCTCCTTAGGTCAAGGGCAGCTTTTGCATTCCACTCACAAGGCACCACAATTTGAGATGAGGAATTCAGAAGAGCAAACAGCTACGACAGTTTTACAGCGTCTGCTGCAGGAGCAGCTCAGATACGGAAACCCAAATGACAACCGTAACCTTCTTGCCTTACATCAACAAGCCACAGGAAATGCACCCCCTTTCAACAGCAGTGGGAGTCCAGTGTCTCAGAATGACGGGCTGAGCTCCCAGGACCATCAGCTTGTGACTCATGCTGCCCGACAAGAGCCCCAGGGCCAGGAGATTCAGGTGGACAACAGCATCATGGAGAAGCAGCTCTCTCCAAGACTTCAGAACAGCGAAGACCTCCCTACGTATGAGGAAGCCAAAGTCCAGTCACAGTATTTCAGGGGCCAGCAGCATGCCAGTGTTGGGGCAGCATTTTATGTAACAGGGGTAACCAATCAAAAGATGAGGACTGAAGGGCGGCCCACAGTTCAGCGAGTGAGCCCTGGGAAGGTCCATCAGGATGAAGGACTCAAGGACCTCAAGCAAGGGCATGTTCGCTCACTGAGTGAAAGGCTGATGCAGCTGTCCTTGGCCACCAGTGGTGTCAAGGCCCACGCACCTGTCACAAGTGCTCCTCTGTCTCCGCTCTCTTCTCTTTCTTCTCAGCAGCAGAATGACCCATACAAGAACTCCAATTCCAATGATTTCTACAAAAACTCAGTGCAGACGCCTCCCCAGCCAAACATGAAAGGGATGGAGCACAGGGGTCCTCCACCAGAGTACCCATATAAAAGTATGTCCACCCCACCCGTGAACTGCAAACCTCAGGACCCTGGACATTTCTATGGTGATCACCGTATGAGCCAGCAGGGGAGATCTGATGGGCCTATGATGAGATATCAGCATCCTCCTGAGTATGGCTCTATCAGGTAAGCAGACTCTTAACTGCTTTTCTAGGCTGGCGGCTTTTAGCTTTGTAACAAGCAAAGCACGGTCTGTTTTTCCCCCTCGTAACAGGTTGTCTTTAAACAAGGATCCTTTCTCTGTTGTTAGCCTGTATCTGTGGTGTGGTAAGATCATGATTTGCTTTCTGAAGGAGCCAGTTTTCTAGTTATACTGCTGATTGCGGTTTGATTTTACAACAGAGTGCAAAGCTGGGCTCTACGGTTCCTGGATCATGCAAGGGCCCTGCTAAAAGGCCAGGGCTGTAGCATGATTCACTGTTCAAACTTGCAGTCCCTTATTGCAAGAGTAAGCCAGGCTTTAATTAACATCTTCCAGGACAATAGATGTTCAGGGTGTGGCCCATTGCCTAAGTATTTTTATATCAGATAACTTTGGAAAGGGGAAAGTGATTGCAGACAAGAATAAGTTTACCTGAGTTTCCAGCCTTCATATACCGAGGCAAAGGTGGGGGTGGAGAATGGGGTGCTGGCTGTTCACTGCTTGTTTAGCAGTCGCTTTCTCTGCATTAATTGACATTCCAGTCTGCTCTGGTTTGCTCTAAACTGGATCCTGTTTGGGCCAACACTGATATCCTGGTGGGTGGAGCAAATCAAGTTTAATAAACCAGAATGAGAACTTTGCTTTAACCTACGTTGTCCTTTGTCTTACTCTATGTTCAGATCCAGCCAGTGGTCGAGCATTTTCTCTTAAGAGGGAATTCAACTTGAAATGTTCCAATCTAGTGGATATCCGCCCACCGATTCCTGCCTTTTTTGCTTGAAAGATGATGTAAAGCAGAAAGGGGATGGTGGGGGGCAGGATGATGTGTGTGTGTGTGTGTGTGTGTGTGTGCATGTGTGTGTGCATATACAGAAGGAAGAGACTGGCCAATATTCTTGCAATGGATTCAGACCTTTAGAGAATCTGAATCTTTTCGGGACCTTTCCAGCCCTATAGGGAGCTATTTTCAGACTTCGTTCACCATTGTTCATGATCTGAAATGACTTCAGCAGCATACAAGCCTGGTGAAAAGGCCCTTTGATCTGGCTAAGTAAATAAGAAAGAGGCCAGGAAAGGGGGAAGTAGGTTTTTTTTTTTCCTTCTCATTTTATTTTATTTTTTTGGCTACTGACTTCAGAAACTTGTTGCAAATAGCTTGCAAAATCAACAGGCAAGATGAGGCCTCAGCTCTGTGCAAACAGGAAAGGGCAACCAGATTCTTAATGATTATCTCTCAGTGGGAATATACAATGTTACCAGTATCAGAGACTGCCTGCTTGCTGCGTTGAGAGAGGTATTTGAAAGCATGCCAACAGCCAGCTTCTCGGTATGGGATGATTTTTTTGTCTGTACTGGATGGATCTCAGCCACTAGAGGAGATTCAGAGGGGAGGAGGATGGAGGTTCAGTTGGCAAGTTTTCCAGTGCAACAAAACAAGGAAAATGTGTGTCTTCAAACATGTATTGGGAATCTAGTGAGGTTACTTTTTAATCAGAGGAGCTGTGCAGAGAAGAGAATTCCTTTGCAAACAACTGCTGAAACGGTGGAACAAATATAAGACTAAACTTTTAGCTGCTAAACCATAAATTATGGAGCCCCCCCCCTTTAAACAAACTGTCATTAAAACAGTAAGCCTTCTGTGCAATT